GCCCAGTGCTGTTAAGTGCCAATCACCTGTCAAGGCATGTGCTCGCTTGGTCCATCTTAAAGTTCTAGAAGAATTCAGCAAAGGTTCAGCAATACTCTATCCATCCAAGCCAACAGCCAAGGCAGGCTCCCAACACATAGGGGCAAAAGGAACTGTGAGTCCAAGTAACTGGCAACAATAATCCTGTGGCAGAATTCCCCTAAAATTGACCCTGATGGAGTTACCCAAGGTATATCCTGCAAGAAGCACAGAATGGGCACCAACGTGACTATGTAATTTTAAGTATGAATCATGAGGCATCCATATGGAAGCAGTGGGATGTTTGTGACTCCACAGGCTGGGGGAGGGGTCACTGTGACCAAAGTGTGTTAAATATGTGAAAATGCCATCACGAAATCTTTTCTTTTATACAATTAATATATACTGATAAAAAGAAGATTCCATGGTCCTTTTTTATTAGCTGACTTAACCTGACTCTGTATCACAGTTACATCTGTATTTTCCAAAGTTATTTTTAAATCATCTTATGAATTGCTAACATTTATAACCCACGTGGTTCAAAATGTTTTACACCTATTACTTCATTTGATCAAGTCTCCATTTTCATATGCAGAAAAGTCACTTTAAGATCTCTATCTTCCTAGGCATTTTGCAAAACAATAGAATAAAGCACACACTCTCTCTCTCTCTCTATATATATATGTATGTATGTGTGTATATATATATATATATATATATATATATATATATATGGTTTATAACTAGACACTTTCTCCAAGAACTGAGTTTCTCTGGAAACAGAATGAGCTGAACAAATCCAGTGAGGCCAAGCAAGGCACTTCTCTCTGTTACTTTCTCAGTATAATATTTGGCAAGTATTTGCTGAGCCCCTAAACTAACCCAGGCCTAGTGTGGATACGGGAAACACAGCAAGACACGCCCCTCCTGCGCCACGCACCCTCCTGCGCCACGCTCCATCCTGCGCCATTCAGCGTCCTGTGCCACTCTCCATCCTGCGCCACGCACCATCCTGCGCCACGCTCCATCCTGCGCCATTCAGCGTCCTGTGCCACTCTCCATCCTGCGCCATTCTCCATCCTGCGCCAGTCAGCATCCTGCGCCACTCAGCATCCTGCGCCACGCACCATCCTGCGCCACGCTCCATCCTGGACCATGCTCCATCCTGCGTCATTCTCCATCCTGGACCACACTCCATCCTGCGCCATACTCCATCCTGCGCACTCTCCATCCTGCGCTACTCAGCATCCTGCGCCACTCAGCATCCTGCGCCACGCACCATCCTGCGCCACGCTCCATCCTGGACCATGCTCCATCCTGCGTCATTCTCCATCCTGGACCACACTCCATCCTGCGCCACACTCCATCCTGCGCACTCTCCATCCTGCGCACTCTCCATCCTGCGCTACTCAGCATCCTGCGCCACGCTCCATCCTGCGCCATCCTGCGCCACACTCCATCCTGCGCACTCTCCATCCTGCATCATTCTCCATCCTGCACCCTTCAGCATCCTGTACTGTGCCCCATCCTGTGCCATGGACCCCCTGCATCGTGGAGCCAGCATTCTGAAGACAGCTAGAATATAAGTTGCATTAGTGCACCTGGTACTCTTATTACAGCTATACTATTTCAATAAAGAGCTGCTATTATTTTTCCCATTTTATAGTTGAGGATAAGACAAATTAATGTGGTAAGTCTGCAAGAAATCAGAATCTTGGCATTGTGAAATGGAAAAGAAGACCTGACATTCTGTTGGGTGGGAAGCAATAGTAAAATGTCTGACACTCGCATAGCAGTTCCTCAACAAGTTACAACCAACAGTAACAGTAAAATGATCCATTAACTTGATGTACACATCACATTTTCCTTCACCTCCATACACAACAGAGAAGCTTTTTCCATGATGACTGCTCAAGACTTCTCCCTGTATAACTGCATTTCGTAAGATTTAAGAAACCCTTTTCCACCCAGCATCGGTGGCTCACACCTGGAATCCTAACTGCTCAGGAGGCTGAGATATGAGGATCTCAACTAAAAGCCAGTCTGCAGGAAAGTCTGTGAGACTCACCAAAACAAGAGGAAGAGGACCTGTGACTCAAGTGGTAGAACACTAACTAGTCTTGAACACAAAAGCTCAGGGACAGTTCCCAGGCCTCAAGTTCAAGCCCCAGGACCAGCAAAATAGACCACAGAAAGAAACTTTTTTCCATATTTGTAATAAAATTTTAACTTCCTACTATGACTAAACTCTGCTCAGAAATCCTTAAGCAAACACAGAGGCCAAAATAATTTTTGTGGAGACAATGGTGTGTTCTACTTGATGTTTTAAACATAGCTTCCAGAGATGTAAGCGTAGTTCGTATTTTGCTGAGGAAATGTGAGCACAGCGAAGTTACATTACTTCCCAAAGGCCACACAGCTAGCAAGTAGTAGAGCCATGGTTTCAACCCAAGCTATTGAGACCCAAAGTATGATTTTTGTCCTGTAGGACTGCTTTTTCCCCCAGCTGAGATCCCTCTGAATTTGCTAGTAACTTCCTTCCGCAGAAAACAAAGGATGCATTGATACCGATCACTCAATTTCTTACTTGGGGAATAAGGAAGTAATCCATAATCAATTGCCTATTATTTGATTATTGGGCTCTAGCCAACAAAATTGTCACTTGGTCATATGTTGGAGGAAAGACCAAAACAAGGAGACAATGACAAAAACTTTAAGGTTTGTCTAATTGGGCAGAGACCTGTAAGAGAAAGATGCTCTTCATTATTTTAGAGCCTAGGCCCTTTAGATCTTAATGATTTTGACAGATATCATGCCCAGGTTTCAGCCTTCAGCCATCTTCAGAACAGCCTATGGGATGGGCACTGTTTTGTGAGTAGGTATTTGAGGGAAGAGGAGGAGGAGGAGGAGGAGGAGGAGGAGGAGGAGGAGGAGGAGGAGGAGGAGAAGAAGCAGGAGGAGGAGGAGGAGGAGGAGGAGAAGGAGGAGGAGGAGGCACATTGGCTTGTCCATCTGCTAAGTAGCTGAGTGGGGATTTGAACTCAGTGGGTTTTATTTTTTGCTGGTTTGTCCTTAATTTTATTCAAATACACAGTTTTCTGAGTCAATTACAATTTGGTGGGGTTGTTTCTCGACACTAGGCTGGGGAGATGATGTAAATGTCTAGCTTGGTGCTTCATTTCACCATAAGCCCAAGAAAAGCTTCATTTGTGTGCACTACAAATAGTATCCATAACTATGTGATATGTACAGACAGTATATGATATGTAGCACGTAATAGGCTATGTAAATCCATAGAATATGTTAACTAATGTATACTATATAGTGAGTGTATTTAAAAAGATCTAACAAATCCCGTCTAGATATAGCTTATTATATTTATTAGCATAAACATTCGTTAATCTCTGAAGGACAAATCTTTATTAATTATTACTATCTTTAAGTTGCTTTGGGAAGGGGTTTCAGTTCCGCCCATCAGATGATGAGTACAGTGCATCTTGACCAATGGTCCCCCTTCCCATCTTGCCCCCTCCCATGCTGCTCCCCTGCCCCCTCCCATGCTGCTCCCCTGCCCCCCTCCCATGCTGCCCCCCTGCCCCCCTCCCATGCTGCCCCCTTGCCCCCCTCCCATGCTGCCCCCCCCAGCCTCCCTCGGGACTTATTTGAAATGATAGCTCTCAAGCGCAACTTGGACTGCAAAAGGTTTGCAACAAATGCAATAAATGTTCAGGGGAGAATTAGGAGGAAAGGTTTTGCCAGCGCTGGGGTCAAAAGGACCCTGGCAGGGGTCAGAAAAGCGGGGAGGGGAACCAAGAGGTCCCGCCCCGCATCGGATTGCTCATAGCCTTGCATTAGATTATTATTGTTGTGAATATTGTTATTTTCATCAACAGAAATCCTCAAATCATTTTCCTCGGTTGCCCAAATGGGTTTCACTTTTACCAGCCACAGTGTGTGTGCGTGTGCGCGCGCGCGCGTGAGCACGTGTGCTCGTGCAGCTGTGTATTTAGGCTCGCTTACCATGGCTATGGCAGGACCTAGGCGACACCGTGGGGAACCCGGGTTTGAAGCGGCCAGCCTCTCCTTTGCGCAGCACACAGAGTAGAGAAGGAGGGAGGGGCTTGGGGAAAACGCTGCCCAGCAGAAATTTAAGCCTGCCATTCCCTTGACCTCAGGGACACCACATCAATATCAACATCATCATCATCACCATCATCTTTAAGTAATTGTACAAAAGCACTTCGATCCAGCAGGGCTTCCATCATCCCCCCCCCCCCCCACACACACACAGCCCAGCCTGCTTGCCCGTCTAGGACACGGCAGCAGTGACTGGTCGCCTGTGGGAGGAGGGCCCGGGTGGATGCTTTGGGGGCAATCGTGAACGCACGTGGGCATCTCAAAGTGCGCCCACCGGAAAGGAAATTCCGCAGGCTCAGCGGACCCCTCGGGGCCCCTTCGGGACCTGCCGGCTCAGTGCTCTCTTCCTATGCGTGTGTGGTGTCTCCCCGGTCCCTGCTTCCTTCCTGGGCTGGGGAAGCCAGCTTTCCAGCTAAGGAAGCCCAGCCTTGGCTAAGACAAGGTTCCCTCCCCGGAGGGGCGCGGGCTCTCGGCCCCGGGCAGGCTCGGACACCCTTCCAGGCGCACCCAGAGGCCTCGCCCGCCCTGCACGGCGATTGTGCAAGCGGGCCAGGCTGTACCCGGTGAACCCGGGCTGGACGCGCTTTCCCCAGTGATCTCCGGGGTGGAGCCCGCGCGCCTCCTGGCCTGTGCCCTCGCTCACCTCGCCGATCCGTCCGCCAGCCCCGCTCGGCCCGGCCCATTGGCCACCCGGGCGGCCCCCCGGCTCCATAAATACACGGCCCCGCGCGCAAGCCACGCCAGAGCCCGCAGCGCCCCGCTCCCCGCCGTGCGCTCCCGACGCCGTGCAGAGCCCAGGCGGACCCGCACCAGCTTTCTTCCCTCCTCCCCAGAGCCGTCGCCCTGCGCTCCTCCGGATCGCCCGGCCGCGCCGTCCAGCATCCCTGCGCGCGCCTCTCCCTCTCCACCCCCCCTCCTGGCCCCCGTCGGCCTCACTTTTCTAGAACAGCCGGGCTTCCCCCGACACACACACACACACACAGTTCTCCCCCAGCACCTCCTGACGACTCTGCCCTCTTCCGTCCCGGCGCCTTCAGACGTGTCCCCCGCTCCCCGCGCCCCCGGTGTCATGAGCTCCCCAATGGGCAGGTCGCACCCCCTGACCGCCTTCCTGCGGCGGCTGCACAGCGTCCACGAGCGCCCCAGGCCCCTGGCCTCGACGACGCCATGCGCGTCCCCTGCGCCGCGCCACGCGCCCCCGTGCCCTGGGCTGGCTCCGGCTGGGGCGCAGCACGCGAGCGCCCTGCCCGGCCCCACCAGCTGGCCCCTGCTGGGCAGCCTGTTGGAGATCCTATGGAAAGGGGGCCTGAAGAAGCAGCACGACACGCTGGTAAATATTCTGCACCCCTCCCCGACATTCCTTCATCCTCCCGGCCCTGCGCTCCCCCGGGCTTCCGCTGCACCCTTCCTGGACGTTTCGTGCGCCCCGGGCGCCGGGAGGGCGCAGCCGGTCCCGGCCACCGCCCGGGATGCGCTGACCCCGCCCCGTCCCGCCCCGCCCGCGCAGGCCGAGTACCACGGCCGCTACGGCCACATCTTCCGCATGAAGCTGGGCTCCTTCGACTCTGTGCACCTGGGCTCGCCCGCGCTGCTGGAGGCCGCGTACCGCGCCGAGGGCGCGCACCCGCAGCGCCTGCAGATCAAGCCCTGGAAGGCCTACCGCGACCACCGCCAGGAGGCCTACGGGCTGCTCATCCTGTGAGTGCCCGCCGCGGGCGGCGGGCCCGACGCAGAGTCCCCAGCCCCCGGCAGCTGGACTCCCTTCGTGCAGGGCAGACACCAAAGCCTCCACTCAGCACGGAAGGTGGAGGCCGGAGGGAGGACTTCGGGCTGGAGGCCAGGCAGGCTGATCGGGTCTTCTGACCTGATCTATCTGAACAACCAAATGGGCTGGGTGGAGGAGCCTAAGCTAAAGCAGAACCCTAGGTTCTGAAAAAAAAAAAAAAGAAGAAGAAGAAAGAAAAGGGGAGGGGAGGGAAAAGAGAGAGGATGGGAGGAAGAGAGAAAGGGAGGGAGGATGGAAGGAAGAAAAGGATGGAGGGATGGAAGGGAGGAAGGAAGGAGGGAGGGAAGGAGGAAGAGAGGGAGATGGGAAGGAAGAAAAGAAGGAAGGAAGGAAGAAAGGGAGGAAGGAGAGAGGGAGGGGAGGTGGAAGGAGAGAGTGTGGAAGGAAAGAAGGAAGAAAACAAGGGAGGGAGGGAGAGGAGGAGGGGAGAGAGAGGAGGGGGGAAGGGAGGGCTTTCTGTCCCCTGATATCACTGGCTTGCTCTCTAGCTGCTGGACAAGGCCCCAAGATGAGACAAATTGTGGTCCCCCAGACTCTTGGGGAGACCCTGAAGCCTGTGTCCTTTGCAGACCAATTGTTCTTTAACATTCCCTAAGACCAGATGTAAACATAGAAAAGAACTCCTTCTGTGTCTGCCGGGGCCACTCTTTCAGAAGACCCCCAAAGTTACACGCAGGTCTACAGACCACGCTGGACTGAGAGACAGGGGCTAAGGTCACGTTCTAAATGAGGCTAAATGCCACTATGCCAGAGGACACTTCTGCTGTTTGCATCATTAGCATTGAACAAGATAGCACTTTGTCAGCCCCACCCCCTAGTGCTCTAGTCTAGTAGCTGTATTTTTGCAGATGTAATTGTTGGCATATTGAGCTGTGGGGCATCTGCAGCTGTGTGCCCCAAAACATCCCCCACACAAGGGCTTGTGGGGGTCACACTCTCTGCCTTATGCCTTCAGTCTGCACCTGAAGTGGTTTGCAAGGTGTGACACGCAGGCCAATAGGTTGAAAGACAGTTTTGCCTTCAACAAATCCCAGTTGAGGGCCAGGAGCTGTTCACATGCCTATTCTTGTGACTGGCATTGAGGTTCCTGGAGCCCTACTCTCCCAACAAGAGTCAATCAAAAGCCCCCAAGCCCAAATTATCTGGGCTTCACCTTCTGGGTGGTCATTGTGAAGGAAGAGAAAAGACGTGTGTGCTCATCCTAATATCAAGCCAGCTGCAAATGATGCTGCTAAGGTGAAGCCTGCCAGCCTCTTCTCCAGAGATTCTCACCCATCACTTCCTTCTGGGGCTCAAGAGGTTGCTGCTTGGAGGTGCCTCCAGCCGTTCCTGCTTTCCTCCCATTCTAAACACACTCCTGCTTCTCTCTCAGGGAAGGGGAGGACTGGCAGAGGGTCCGCAGTGCTTTCCAGAAGAAACTAATGAAGCCAGTGGAAATTATGAAGCTGGACAACAAAATTAATGAGGTTTGCAAACTCACGTCCCTCCAAGTCACAGCTACAACGTGGAGGGGAAAGAGTTGGGGGCAGGGGAGGATTCGGGGGTCTGCTCTTTCTGCTCTTTCTCCATTCCAATCCACATCGCCTTCCCTGAGCCCTTATTCCTCTCTCCATTTAAAAATAATCCTGTAATGAGTGTTGCTTATGTTCCAGTCTTGCCCCTTAACTTTTCTATTCCTCTGTTCCCTAATCATTTGCCAGCTGAAGTTAAATGCTTGAAAAGTCCTCTCAAGCAGTGACATTTGGTCTGGGCTGTGCTGTGTGAATAGACACCTACACAGCAAAGAGGGTGAAGAAAGATATCCAGGCAAGGAGACCAGCCTGCTAGATAGAGAAACATGGGATGGAATGTGTTCAGACCATCAGCAGTCAGTGGAGTGTGGACAGACCTTGTTGAAGGTTTCCTAACAAGCAGTAGTTGAACACTGTTCTTTACCAACATGAGCCACAAGGGGGCGACAAGCCTGTAGCAATGTCTTCCTTCTGTTATAAATTCAAAGGCTTTCTGATCACACAACCTTCCGAGGGCCTGGCACGGCAAGTTATCAGTCCCTGAGCGAGTGGCTTGGCGTGTCTTAGCTTGGTTTTCTCTGTTACATAATAAAGGAAAGGAAAGGCAATGTTACTGCTGCTATGACTGGGCTAGCTTGGGCCTATACTCAAAGGTGAACTGAACCCTTTGGGGTTTTGAGACTGACATCTAGAGATTTTAAGTGACTGTCCCAAGGTCACAGAGCTATTGAGCCCACAGAGTTTCCAGATCTCCTGGCACTAAGGCCAACCACATGCTCACCTCCACCAATCCACCAAGGCAAAAGGATGCTGCCACCCAAGGTGTGGCATTGGAGATGCAGTCCTCAGGCTAGCTGGAGCAGCCCTGTCCTTGAGCTGTCACCCCAACGGGCTCCCTCGGTTGGCTCCTTCCTTGTGGTTTATGCCCACATTGTACTTAGAGCCTTCTTTTCTTACCTTGCCCAGACTTGCTTTTAGAACAAAGGCTTCAGGGTGGCTGCTGGAAGAGCTCAGGAAATAACTCAGGACAGAGCAGCCAGGGAATAGGCGGATAGAGAAGGAGACTATGTAGTTAGGGCTAGTCACAAGGAATAACACGGCAGGCAAAGAATACTCCATGCAGAAAACCCTCCAGTTAGCTCAGTGGCCTGGATGCTTTCCTGTTCCTTCCCTGTCATTAACATGTACTTTCCATATTTGTTTGTTTTGGGTCAGGTCTTGGCTGATCTCATGAGTAGAATAGATGAGCTTTCTGATGCCACAGGCCACATTGAGGACTTGTACAAGGAACTGAACAAATGGTCCTTTGAAAGTAAGTCATCTTCACAGTCCACTTATTTTCTTGTTAAGTGGTGGCAAGGTTTTATTTTAGTATAACAGGTTTAAAAGAGAGAGAAATAGAAAATGAGGGGGGAGATACATTTCCTGTCCCTACAAAGGAAATGAGAGTTTCAAGACTCAAAATGATGGTTCCTATCTGTAGCTTTTATTCTTTCAGAGCTGGGTGGAATACACGAGGTCCAACTGCCCTTAATTCTTAGACAATGGTTTGGGGACAGTTCGATGAATGAGGCCCACCCAAAACAGGGGTGACCTTAGGACTTCCTTCGGTCCTTCACACCTTCCTTTACCAATTTTTATCAGTTTAAAGGAGAAGTAGATTTACACAGCCCTTTCTATGTCTTCTAATCTTGCCACTTAACATTAAAAAGGAGGTATGAAGAGAGAGGAGCTTGTCTGCTTTTTCAGCTTACTTCCTAGTTTTAACTTCTGACATTTTTTTGTTTAAAAAATATATATACCTATACATATATATATATATAAATTCCCTAGCTCCTCACCTATCTCTCCTGCCCAATTTCCCGCCTTTAAGCATTTTTAATTTCTTTTCTATCTTTGGACCCTTTTAATCTTAGAAAAGGGTGCCGAGGGTGGACAGCCATCTTTAGCAGCTACTTATTAGCTGCATGATTCATTTAATTGTGTAAGTGGTTTGGGGGAGGTTCAAATGTTGATCCGTTGATGACTTTCCTGTTACAATATCTCCCTGCCCACGAGGCTGTATAAGACCTTTTTGTGCTTTTTCTCTTAAGCACTAAAATTTGTGTCTTGCACTATGGATTGTTTATGAAGTCATTCAACAAGCAACTGCTATGCGCCAAGCCCTGTGTAGACACTAGGGATACAGCAGATAACACACAGGCAACATCTCTTCCTCCTGGGCTTCTGTTTGAGGCATATTGCAATATATACTTTGTCAACAAGTAAAGGAAAAGATTGAATGAGTCAAGAAAGAACAGCAGAGCAGGAAGCAGAGATTTGGAAGGTTTTTCACCAGTTTGGGTGGAAAGTCAGGAAAACCCCATTTCAACCAATAACTCCCCCGCTTGTCCTCAAGGGAAGCATAAAGAAGAGGGCTTTCAAAAATGCAAAGTCAGAATCATGACTGTGATTTGAGTGGGCTGGAAATAAGCAACTAGGAGGTTTATACATGTCCATGGACCACCCAGAGCTCTTCCACTCTCCCAAAGACATCCACTGTCAGGCATCTCCAGATAAACAGTGCAACAATGGCAGGTGCCTTGGCTCACGACAGTCATCCCAGCGACTCAGGAGGCTGAGATCTGAGGAAGGAAAGTCTGTGAGATGCTCATCTCTAATAAATTACTCAAAAAAAAAAAAGGCTGGAGGCGGAGCTGCAGCTGAAGTGGTAGAGTGCTAGCCTTGAGCAAAAGAAGCTCAGTGACTGCACCCAGGCCCTGAGTTCAAGCCCCAGGACTGGTACACCACACACACACACACACACACACACACACACACACACACACACACACCTACCTCAACAGGTAGAACAAGATTACAGGATTGAGTTAGTTCACAAAGTGCAGATAGAGTCTGACAAGCTATAAGTTACTCTTTTTCTTCTCAGCTTTCCAAGTTTAGACCAGCCACTCAGTGTCCCATTTTGCAAATCCAGTGATCAAACAGCACTTTAGGTGGTCTTTGACCCCAAAAGGAAATAGTAACAGAAGACAACTTTTAGGACAATAGGGGATGTAGTAGACATGCTACGGAACGTGCATTTGTTTAGCATGTCAGTTGTATGATATACGGGTGTGTTGTAAGGATGATGCTTATAGAAGAGGGTGTCGTTACTCTTAGTAGGTCACTGCTACCGTATTTACTTGTGAAGAATCATCAGCACTGCTCATTATTCTCAAATGACTCGGGACATACAGCCCGGCGGGTCAAGTGCTGAGCAGCTATGCACCTAGTGAGAAAGGAAGTGTGGCCAAATGCTCACGATTACGGTGTCTGAATTTAGAAGACCCACATACTCATTACACTGTTTCAACTTTCCTGTCAGTACAAGGTTTTAACATAAAGGGTTACAGATTTTATTTTTAAAGCGATGTCTAAATAAAAAGATTAGATGGGGGAAAAGGTATCTCTCCAGTGCTAGTCCAGAGGGGGACAGGTAAGTGGGGATGCAGTCTGTATCTTCCCTTCCTCCCATGCCAGCTTCTGCGGGCATGTTCAGGAGCAGAAGCTAATGAGGGACTGAGCCGAAGTCAGGGCAGAACTCTGACCCCACCACACCTCTGCCCTGGAACTTTCTGTGACAACCCAGCCCCACGGCAGTGTGTCTCTCCCTGAGGAGTGTTCTCCCTGGCTGATTGCCTTTCCTAGATATTCTTGGACTTACCGTGGGGCTCTTTGTCCCCCTTAGAAAAGACCAAATGTCTATGAGACATAGAATTAAGTCTTTAACAGCTGATGACTCACAGACTCCAGCTTCGTTGGGATTGTTTAACAGCGATGATTTCCTTGAGTAACAGGTATCTGCTTCATCTTATATGAGAAGAGATTTGGGCTCCTTCAAAGGAACACAGAGGAAGAGGCCTTGAATTTCATCATGGCCATCAAAACAGTAAGTGTCCCTCAGGGTGGAGATGTTTCCTGGAACTTAGCAGATGCCACAATGTCTCCAAGCCTGAGGAAACCCACAGCTTATCCTTGTGTAGTTGTTCATTGAGTTTCAGTATTCATTTTCATGCGCGTACATGCATGGGCGCACGTATCATAAAGAATCACGGTGCATCACCGTTCTTTTGCTTAGGCAAGGCTATTGTTAATCACATAAGATTTTATTTTACAGCCATCTTGGGATCTCCAGGTCAACAGTCAGTACCTGTGAAACAAAGTGAAAAATTACAGACTTTTAATTTTTGAAAGGTTTAAGGTGATGGACAGTTATAGCCCTGTGACCTGGGTTTGGGAATGACCGAGGTTAGGGGATGATTAGAGATCAAAGTGAAAATGAAATTACAGCTTCACCCCCTTCTCCCTACTTCCTTCTTCTCTGCTTCCTTCATCTTTTCCTCCCCCCCCCTTCCTCTTGGGCCTCCTTTCCCCTCCTCCTCCTCCCCCTCCTCCCCCTCCTCCTCCTCCCCCTCCTCCTCCTCCCGCTCCTCCTCTTCCCCCTCCTCCTCCTCCCGCTCCTCCTCCTCCCCCTCCTCCTCTTCCCCCTCCTCCTCCTCCCCCTTCTCCTCCTCCTCCTCCTCCCCCTCCCCCTCCTCCTCCCCCTCCCCCTCCTCCTCTTCCCCCTCCTCCTCTTCCCCCTCCTCCTCCCCCTCCTCCCCTCCTCCTCCTCCCTCTCTTCCTCCTCCTCCCCCTCATCCCCCTCCCCTTCCTCCCCCTCCCCCTCCCCTTCCTCCCCCTCATCCCCCTCCCCCTCCCTCTCCTCCTCCTCCCTCTCTTCCCCCTCCCCCTCCTCCCCCTCCTCCTCCTCCCCCTCCTCCCCCTCCTTCCCCTCCCCTCCTCCTCGCCCTCCTCCCCCTCCTTCCCCTCCTCCTCCTCCCCCTCCTCCTCCTGCCCCTCCTCCTCGCCCTCCTCCCCATCCTCCTCCTCGCCCTCCTCCCCCTCCTTCCCCTCCTCCTCCTCCCCCTCCCCCTCCTTCCCCCTCCTCGCCCTCCTCCTCCTCCTCCTCCCCTTCCCCCTCCTCCCCCCCTCCCCCTCCCCCTCCTTCCCCTCCCTCCTTCCCCTCCCCCTCCCCCTCCTCCCCCCCTCCTCCTCCCCCTCCCCCTCCTCCCCCTCCTCCTCCCCCTCCTCCTCCCCCTCCCCTCCCGCCTTCGGCTTCTTCATCGTGCTCACAGTTGGGTCATAGGACCCGGCGTGTTTGGTCGTTGCCGTGGCTGTCACGGCTGTTCTTGCCCCACACTTTGTTTTGCGGGTCCTGGGCCTTGAACTCGGGGCCTGGGCGCCGCCCTGAGCGGCTCTGGGCCTCGGCGCCGCTTCTACGCACGTGGGGCCGAGGACCCGAGCCCCGGCTTGAGGCGAGCTAGGCCGCGCGGCGCCCATTAGACGCCTAACAGCGGGGCAGTCACCGAGGCGCCGTTACCGGCAGCAGATCCACGCTGTCTACGCGGGGACGGGGCCGCGGCTGGGCGCCCGGAGGGGAAGGCTCTTCCTTGGCTCCCCTCTCCACCGCCGCCCGCCCCTCTCCCCGCGGCTGCCCTCTCTCCTCTGGCCTCGCTCTCTACCCTCCCCCGCCCCTCGGAGCCCTGCGCCCCTCCCCCACTCCAACGGTTTCCAACTGCCATGCATGCCCCGCCCCCAAGATGCCCACTGTCCAATCACGTCTTGACAGCTCACCATGTGGGGCTCGGCGCCCCGCCCCTTTCGGCGTCGTGCCCGCCCCCTCGGTGGCCGGGTCCTCGCCGCGGTGAGGCTGGCGTCTTGAGGCCCCCTCGGGGCCACGCTGTTACCCCACGGCCCACGAGGCCACCCTCCCAGTCCGAGTCCAGCACTTTCCATTGCGCGGCGGAACGTCTTTCCCTGGGACTTCTGACCTTCCACGAGCGGGGTGTGAGAGGCGGGTCCACTGACGGGCTGACGTGCGGGACGGGGACAGGCCCGCGTGCACGCTGACGTGCATGCTGATGTGCACGCTGACGTGCATGCTGAGTGCGGGACGGGGACAGGCCTGCGTGCACGCTGACGTGCATGCTGATGTGCACGCTGACGTGCGGGACGGGGACAGGCCCGCGTGCACGCTGATGTGCATGCTGATGTGCACGCTGACGTGCGGGACGGGATAGGCCCGTGTGCACGCTGACGTGCATGCTGAGTGCGGGACGGGGACAGGCCCGCGTGCACGCTGACGTGCATGCTGAGTGCGGGATGGGGACAGGCCCGCGTGCACGCTGACGTGCATGCTGATGTGCACGCTGACGTGCGGGACGGGATAGGCCCGTGTGCACGCTGACGTGCATGCTGAGTGCGGGACGGGGACAGGCCCGCGTGCACGCTGACGTGCACGCTGACGTGCGGGACGGGGACAGGCCCGCGTGCACGCTGACGTGCATGTTGACGTGCGGGACGGGGAGAGGCCCGCGTGCACGCTGACGTGCACGCTGATGGGCGGCGGGACAGGGACAGGCCCCGCGTGCACGCTGACGTGTATGCTGACGTACACGCGGACGTGCACGCTGATGTGCATGCTGACGTGCATGCTGATGTGCACGCTGACGTGCGGCGGGACGGGGACAAGTCCCGCGTGCACGCTGACTGACGTGCGCACGGAGCTGCAGTGTCAAGCGCCCGCGCACGCGTGTGTGTGCCGCAGATGATGAGCACGTTCGGCAGGATGATGGTCACCCCCGTGGAGCTGCACAAGCGCCTCAACACCAGAGTCTGGCAGGACCACACCCGGGCCTGGGACACCATCTTCAGATCAGGTAAAGGATCTCGCTGCTCTGCAGCTGCGGGAGGTAGGGCTGTCTTCCCGGCCCCAGAGCCTTGACCTTGGCTGAAAGCCTTGACCTTGGCTGAGAGCTTTCACCCAAGACCCTTGACCTTGACCTGAAAGCCTTGACCCTGGCTGAGAGCCTTGGCCCTCCTGACTCCCCCAGGCTTTATAAACACAGGCATGGGGTTGAATCGCAAGGAAAGGGCAGAAGGCAGCGTTCTGTCGTCTTCTCTGAGGTCTAAACCTGATTAAAAGCAAGAGCTTTGGAGAAGAAGAACTCCACTTCCCTGTGTGTGACGACTTGGCCAATGCATTTCACCCTGGGTGGCCATGTTTCTGAAAGGGACAGAGGATTAGCGTGGGGGCTTCTGAGGCAGACATGGACCACAAACACACCAGGGTTTCCCCATGGTTAGAGCAATGGCTACTACACATCAGGGATTGCACACTTACTTTATCCTCAGGCAAACATATACAGTCCTTTGATCTGTCCTAAGTGATAGAGCAGAGGCACTTGGTAACTTCTGACACATGCAGCCAGACAGAGGGCCTCGGGGCTTACGGCCTAATTGCTATGTATGCCTGTATCATCATCATCATCATCATCATCACCACTATGGTGATTATTCTTAGTCCAATGATTATTTGTGTGATGGATCAAAGCGAAGGCAACATGCAGCACCTAGAGGGGATTTTGTAAATGCTGAAAGATTTTACCTTATTGCCAATACGCATAGGCACTGTATTTGCACATGTGCATAGCATGCGTATGCATGGGTGTGTTCAGTTCTAGATCCCAGTTCTGATTCTGAGCATGAACCCTCAAATTGATCTCTCCCAAGTTCTCACTTCTTGCTCACAACATGAATGCCAAGGGCAGCGCTTGCATTCCCCAGCAGCTTGTTAGAAATGCAGCCTTCCAGCTCCCCAACACCCAGGCCAGCCCCCAACCTCCATTTTAAGGAGATACCTGGTCGGGGGGAGTCTTGACATCCAAGATTCCCTTATGAGGGTATTACCAATCCTTGCCAGTTTAACATGAAGCTTCAGATATTTCAAGAAGGACTTTGAGTCTTAAAACGCCCCCTAACTGCCCCTAAGTTTTTTTCTTTGTTTAAAGTATCACCTGGCTTCCTCCCCCCCCTTTTCCTGTTAGTCAAGGCATGTATCGATAACCGGTTAGAGAAGTATTCCCAGCATCCTGGCACTGATTTCCTCTGCAATATTTATCACCACCACGGGCTTTCCAAGAAAGAACTGTACGCAGCTGTCACAGAGCTCCAGCTGGCTGCGGTGGAAACAGTAAGTGTGGCTGTTCACTAAATAAACTGCTTTCCTGGAGATGATTCCACCCAGCCCTCCTGCTGCTCCCTCTTTCTTTTTTCTTTTGGGGGGTCCGGTCGTGGGGCCTGAACTCTGGCCCTGGGCGCTGTCCCTCAGCTCTTCAGCTCAAGGCTAGCACTCTACCACTTGAGCCACAGCGCCACTTCCGGCTTTTTTCTTATGTGGTGCTGAGGAATCGAACCCAGGGCCTCGAGCATGCAAGGCAAGCGCTCTACCACTGAGCCACCTTCCCAGCCCTGCTCCCTCTTTCTATCAGCAGCCAGGGAGCTTTTGGCTGGGCAGTCAGCAGTGGGAGGGGCGGGGCCTACACATAAAGCCCAGAGGCTTGGACAGCTCCTGATCAAACTCTAGCTAAAGGTCTGACCAGTTCCACTGCAGGGCTGAAAACTGCAGCTGACCTTGGAAGCAGGAACCCTCATGTTCTAGGGAGGCCGTTTAGAGTTTTTAAACCAAACATATTTAGGATAGTATACATGCTATCCTGATGTGCCTACCTGTGGCTGGCAATATTGACAGCAAAATAATAATAATAATAATAGTAATAATAATACAGATACAATCTTTCAGGCCAATGATAGTATTCTTCCTTGAAATTAAAAATAGAGTGAGTTTGGGACCGCTTGGTTTTTGTTGTTGTTGGTTTGAGTTTTGATTACTTGCAATAGTAGGCTTGCACCTGGCTGGGCAGATGCTCTATCATTGAGCCACATGTCCTGTCCTGTATGTTCAGACTATCTTCAAGATAGGGTCTCACTTTCTGCCCAGGCCAGCATGGACTGTGATCTTCCCACGAGTGCTTCCCAGTGGCACTGCCTAGAATGACAGGCAGTTGCTACTGAACCCAGACAATGGTTGAGATGGGGTTGTCTCAAACTTCATTTTCCCTCCTAGGCTGGGCCTAGACCAGCCTCCCACCCCCATCTCCACCCCCCCCCCAAGGGGCTTCAGCCACTGGGTCTGGGTAGACAGCTCAATTTGCATTGAAACGAACCAGCTACTTTTAGCTGCTAAAATGCTGTGTGTGAGGTAGTCAGCACTCTTAGGAGAGACTCCATGAAGCCAAAATCCAGCCGTTTCAGCTGCCTTTAAGTTGCTTCTCGAGCTCTCACTGTAGGATGCATTTAAACATTCCTGTAGATCTGCCATTTCCTACACCTAAACGTCTCCAGGCAGAATGTTTCCATGCTCTCCTCTTTCACAATACAAAAACTTGTGGTTCCCCCTCCTACTCCAGGAGGCTGTGAAGGCAAGGACTTATGCAAACTCCATTTCCTATTGGGTCACAAACCTTCCTTCAGACTCACGTAGCTTCATCCATTAGTCTTCTTATTGGTGTGTGTTCTGTGAGAGCAGGGATTTGCTCTTCTCCACTGCTGTACTCCTGAGCTGTGAAACAGTAGCTGGCCAAGAAATACTTGCTGAAGGAGAGAAATGGAGAACTATAAAATTCAGGAAGAGGAAACAACAGCAGGTGCAAAGGCACTGGGGACAGAAAGATGGAGGTAGAGGATGGTGGCAGAGCTGAGCTTAGAGAAGTCGGCAGGCAGGCTACGCAGGTCTTCGGGGTCTTCTCAAGACCCTGTGGATTTCATTACCCTGTGAGGGGACTCGGGCCAGGAAGTCACCTGGCCATTTGTGTTTGTAACACGTGGACTCTGGCTGGGTGGACAGAGGAACAACTTTGCTGAGGGAAAGAAGTGGAGGGTCAGCTAAGGAAAGAGGTCAGGCCAGGATAGCTTGGGCCTCTGAGACCAAGCCTGCCATTCTCTTCACAGGCCCAGACAGCCACACAGGTTATCTGGGCATGGGGAGTTCACTTTGGGACTTGTGGTAAGGCCTGACTGATAGGGTTGTACACCTGATCCGTTTCTTTTTTGGTCCTGCTTATTGTGAAAGTCACATTTGGAAGATCAGAGAGATTTTGACTGCCTATAATTTGGTGCTGTCACAGGACTCGCAGAATAAGTTTTTTGTGTGGTTTCTGTGCTCCCATGAAGAAGCCCCCTTGGGAGGCCTCTTCTTCCAAAAATATTAACTCACCACTGGCTCTGACCTGGTGATTAGAAACAGCGCCTTCATTTCCGTGGAGGAAGGACAGAGGGACCACCTCCAGCAGAAGACTTAACTTAGAAAGATCTAGAAAGCAAGTGCCCGTGAGTCCTGGTGGTAAACAGGACATGTCTAAATGCCGTGATGGCTCGTTCCACGAGATGATTCTTTCCTGTTGCCTTTAGAGAGCAGGCTTGGGACCTGGGACAGGCCTTTGTCAGAAGCAGAGGCTGGAAGCACCCAGCCCCGTGCTGGGGTACCCTCACAGGGGTCTTTGCGGGTGGATGAAGCCCTGATCATGCATTTTCACTTTTGTGGTGATTTTTTTAGAGTGTGGCAAAAAATACGTTTAAATTTTCATTTTAAAAAATAGCCAGGTGTCAGTGACTCATGCCTGTCATCCTATCAGGAGGCTGAGCAATCCTGAGGATCACAGTTCAAAGCCAGCCTGGGCAGGAAAGTCCATGAGACTCTCATCTCCATTTAACTCCCAAAAAGCCAGAAATTGTGCCGTGGTTTAAAGTGGTAGAGTACTAGCTTTATGCACAAAAGCTCCGGGACAGCGCCCCAGTTCTGAGTTCAAGTCCCAAAATAACAACAAAAAAACCCAAAACAACAAAGGGAAAGAAATGCCAGGGAAGGGGGGAGACTCTCAGAAGAGAGGAATCCTTGCATCCTACACATGCGGTTTCCTGAACTGCAAGAATCTGTCTCTGTCGTCGGTCAGGACCACTTCTGTGGAATTTTCGGGTGGTACTGGGGACTGAACTCAGGCTTTCAGCCAGGAGCACATGAGCCCACCCCAGGCTTTAGTGTTTGCTTTGGTTTTAGATAAGGTAGTGAGTTTTAGCTCAGGCAGAGCCTCAAATTGCCCTCCTGTCCACACTTCTGGAATAGCTAAGACAACAAGCATGCACCAACACCAACTTTTTAAAAGTATTTTTTATTGTAAAGATACTGTACAGAGGGGTTACAGTTACAGGAGTAAGGTAATGAGTCCATTTCCTATCGAGCATTGTGACCCCTTCCTTTGTATTTCCACTACCAACCCTTCCCCTACTCCTCCCTCCCTCCCCAAGTTGTAAAGTTCATTTTCAACATAATGTCTTGTATGTTTCATTGTTATAATGGGTCAACCCGTATCCTTGTTTCAGCATTTTATTTCCCTTCCCCTCCCTAAATTAGAAAAGTGTATATACAAGATGCAGGGCACCAGACTCAAATACAGTGACAACAGGGGTTATAGCATGGGGAAAGAACATACAAAAGAAACAAAAAAATCACATACTACATTAAAAGAAAAAGAAAAAAACCTCTTGTGTCCCTATCTTGGGGTTCATTTTGTTTAGCATCATCTTATACGATCATATGTGCATAGCTTTTGACCTTTTCTGCTTGCCCTAGATATATACTAGTTATTGCAAATAAGGGAAACCATGGGACCTATGTTTCTTTGGGCCTGGCTTACTTCACTTAATATAATTTTTTTTCCCAAATCTTCCCATTTCCTAACAAATGGGGCAATGTCATTCTTTCTGATGGAGGACAGAATTCCTATATATGTATATATGTACATATATAGATATATATGTACATATATATATATATATATCACATTTTCTTGATCCATTCATCTACTGAGCTGCATCTGGGTTGGTTCTATATCTTAGCTATGGTGAATAATGCTGCAATAAACATAGTTGTGCTGGTAGTTTTAGTATGGTCTTGTTTGTGATCATTTGGGTAAATGTCCCAAAGTGGGATTGCTGGGTCATAGGGGATCTCTATGTGGAGTCTTTTGAGGAACCTCCATACTACTTTCCAAAGTGGTTGAACAAGTTTACGCTCCCACCAGCAATGCAGAAGGGTTCCCGTCTGGCCACATCCCCTCTAGCATCTGTTGTTATTAGAGTTCTTGATTCTAGCCATTCTAACTGGGGTGAGGAGAACTCTCAACGTTGTTTTGGTTTGCATTTCTTTTATGGCTAGAGAAGTTGAGCATTTCTTCATATGCCTATTGGCCATTCTTATTTCCTCTGCAGAGAAGTTTCTCTTTTAGTCTTTAGCCTACTTATTTACTGGGCAGTTGTTTCTTTGAGGATTTAGTTGTTTCTTTGGGGGATTTAGTTTTTTTAGTTCTAAGTATATTTCAGATAGGAGATCCTTGTCCGTTGTATGGCTAGTGAAGATCTTCTCCCAGTCCATGGGCTTTCTATTGATGTCCTTTGCCATGCAGAAGCTCTGTAATTTCATGCAATCCCATTTGTCCAACCTTTCTTGGATTTATTGTGTTTCTGGGTCTCTATTGAGAAAATTTCAGCCTGTGCCAAGGAGACCTAGAGTTTCTATTCCTTCCTGTAATGTTTTCAGGGTTTCTGTTTTTACTTCAAGGTCTTTGATGCATTTGGAGTTGATTCTGGTGCAGGGTGATATATAAGGATCTAGCTTTAGTTTTCTACACACCAGCAATTTTTTTTTTTACATAAAAAGTTGTATTTGGCGGTCATAGATTCTAAGGAAAAAACAGCCAGGGCTGTTGCACTCCATTCCCTAGAGTAGCGAAGACCCTCCCTCCTGGCAGGGAGATGTTAGCAGAGCCTCCACATGAACACATTGTAATCCAGTAGTTCCCTTCTCGGTTCCCCAGTTTGACACTCATTCATTTGTGTTCAAATAATCATTGTGTCACTCTCATTTTTAAATGTCCCAAATGCAGCCACTTTTCTTCATTTAAAGAATGTATTTAAAGAATTTCATTTTGATTCCCTCGGGAAATAAGCTCGGCTGAATTGAGAGGTGCTGCGAAATTAATCAGACATTTTTACCTGTGAGATTTGTTTAAGGTAAAGTAAATTAACAAAGCTCCAACATATCTGGAGAGCAAGGTGCCAGGCACCACTTTTTAATTCGCCTAACAGAGGTTTAAGATAGTTTCTTTGTAGAACTCAAATCTGTGTCCATGTGGCTTTCAGACAGCAAACAGCTTGATGTGGGTGCTCTACAATCTATCTCGAAACCCTCAAGCACAACAAAGACTTCTTCAGGAAATTCAGAGCATACTGCCTGAGAACCAGGTGGCCCGGGCAGAAGACTTGAGGAAAATGCCTTACTTGAAGGCCTGCCTGAAGGAATCTATGAGGTAAGCACATGGGTCTAGGTCACCAGAAACACTGGGAAAATGTTCCCTAAAACGAAGAGAACGCACAAGTCCCGCGCTCACACTGGGCAATTATGAACATTTAGCAGACTGGGATGAAGAGCTTTGGGCACACCTTTCCTTCACGCGTTTCCTAAATCATTTGTGCAAGTTCTATAGCGTCTTGGAAAGTAAGTGCTCTTCCCTTTAGTTCATAACACCTCTCTAATGGCCATGAGCACTGACAAAGAGCAGAGCACAGTGTAGAATTTGAGATAAAAGATTAGAACACATACTGTTAGATAGTAAAATAGATGTGCCTTCATTTTTTGAGTTTGTATAAAATGTCTAGTGAAAGTTTTCTTTCTTTTTTCAATTTCTAAAATCACCATTTATGTGCCTTATCTCACTGAGGATTCTTTATACACACTTTCCAGAAAACCAAACTTGGTGGATCTTAGAATAAGAAAGAAACTGTTCTAACCTCACAAAGGAGAGACAGATGCATAGAACAAACATCAGGCTTCCAGTAACAAGCATGAAAAGCATATACATTGATATCTGTGACTGCTAGCCTTGCCCTGGGGATTTATCCAATGCAATAAGATAAGAAAAAAAGTACACAAGATGTGAGTGTTACAGAGAAAACTGCAAGACTCCTTTGTGAAGAGTTTTGACTATGTTCTCTTTTTTTTTTTATTTGTCGGTCATGGGGCTTGAACTCTGGGCCTGGGCACTGTCCCTCAGCTCTTCAGCTCAAGGCTAGTGCTCTACCTCTTGAGATACAGTGCTACTTCTGGTTTTCTGAATGGTTTATTGGAGATAAGAGTCTCACGGCCTTTCCCACCTGGGCTGGCTTTGAACCACGATCCTCAGATCTCAGCCTCCTGAGTAGCGAGGATTACAGGCGTGAGCCACCGGTGCCCCGCTTATGTTCTCTTTTTAAGTATGAACATGTACAGCATGTACCTATCTAAACCAATCTGCAAGGTCAGACAGAATATGTTCGGTGGACATCTTTGTGATTGACTTCCTCTTTCTAGGATTACCCCCAGTGTGCCATTTACAACTCGAACTCTTGATAAGACCACAGTCCTGGGTGACTATGCTTTACCCAAAGGAGTAAGTATGATCTGTATACTCGGCACCTTATAGCATTTTAAAAGGTACAGTTCCCAAATATTCATCAGATTCCCTGATAAGAAGAGCAATAGGTCTCAATTCTGTGGGTCCACAGTTCAGAAATCCATGACGCACAGTGCATATCTGATACGTTACTCCATACAGAACTATAAACAACGGCCCTGGAGACAGCCCAGGACCTGTTGGCACCTTGAACTGTGTGGCTTCCAGTGACTAGCTGTGAAGTTCAACTTCCTCATTTGTAAGAGTAGGAGAAAAACAACATCTTCTAAGGAGGGTGCTATGAAAATAGGCTGCAAAATGTTTCAATTATGGGCGTGTGTGTGTGTGTGTGTGTGTGTGTGTGTGTGTGTGTACATCTGTGAGACAATCTGCAGCTTGAACTCAGGGCCTTGCATTCTTGCTTGGCTTTTTTACTCAAGACTGGTGGTCTACCACTTGAGCTACACCTTTACTTCTGGCTTTTTGCTGAGGTAAGAGTCTCACAGATTTTTCTGTCCTGACTGGCTTTGGACCACCATCCTCCTATCTCAGCCTCTGGAGAAGCTAGGATTACAGGAGTGAGCCACAGGAGCCCAGCAATTACTCAGAATATTTTGAGCACTCAATGTATGCTGGCAACCATCTGTCCTTATTGCATATTTGTGGATTATGTTTACATTTTTAATTCTTTATCATGACTAAGTGATTACCTAATTTTACAAATTTTACAGTATTGTGGGCTAGTGATGCTTAGTGAAAGTGACAAACACATTCTAATTTTCATGGGGCAAGTTGTCTGTCATGGTCTATAAAGTTTATGAGTTCTATGAGCTTTGACAATACAATTATTTCTTCCACATCGGGTGATATGTACATTTCTTTCCTTGTGCATAGTATCCGCTGTTCCCTCTTTCCCACTAGTTTACATTTTTAAATAAGTTTTTTTATTGTGAAAATATTGTAAGGAGGGGTTACAATCACATGAGCAAGGTAATGAGTACATTTCTTATCAAGCATTGTTGCCTCCTCCTTTGTTTTTCCCCTACCATCCCTTCTCTCCCATCTCCACAACTACACTCCCCCCCCCACCTAAATTGTAAAGTTCTTTTTTCAACATAGCATCTCGTACATCTCATTGTTGCAGTGGGTCCACCTGTATCCCTATTTAAACAATTTGTTTTTTCCCTTCTGCTCCCCAAATTATACCAACATCAAATACAGTGAAAATAGGGGTTATACCATGTCGTTGACATTTTTTAAGATGATCAGCTTTACAAATGTTGCCAGCCAAGTGTTCTCTTCTGATTATTTTAAAAATCATCTACTTATGTTTCAGACAGTGTTGATGCTAAATACTCAGGTGCTGGGGTCCGATGAAGACAATTTTGAAGATGCAGATCAGTTCAGACCCAAGCGCTGGCTTCAAGAGAAGAGAAAGATCCATCCCTTTGCACACCTCCCGTTCGGCGTGGGGAAGAGAATGTGCATCGGCCGCCGGCTGGCCGAACTCCAGCTCCACTTGGCGCTGTGCCGGGTAAGATCCAAGATGGGTTTTATGCAGGCATCCTCCTGCCATTCCACGGCCGAAGGAGGAGGGCTAGTTTCACTCTTTGGCATCTGTGTGTTCCAGATTGTTCGCAAATACGAACTTGTGGCCACAGACCGAGAGCCTGTGGAGATTCTACACTTGGGCATCCTGGTGCCTGGCCGTGAGCTCCCCATCGCCTTTGTCCCACGATAGGGTGCTTGGGTGAGTATCTGGGGTGCTTGCTGCCCCTGCAAGGTGCTGCCAATAACCCAGGGGTGAGCTGAGCCTGGAAGTGAGCCAGATTCGGATGTGAATCTATGTCTGCTCCCCCCCGCCGCCCCTCCCATGGCTGACCTCCAGAAGCTACCTCGCCTCTCTGCCTCCTTTTGTAAAATACAGGCCAACATAGGATCTATCTCAGAAATGAGTAGAAATCCTTAGCCCAGCTAAGTGCTTATAAACGTTGGCTGTGGATCTGGGCGTGTGGATAGCAGAGGTGGCTGAGCTTTCTGGACCGGGCTGGTTGACACTGACTTCAGACTTTGTGGGTGTCCAATCTCTGTCATACCCACTTCCGGCTTCCTTGAGAAATGACCACGGCCACAACTGACCCTGCTGCACGTGTGGGTAGAGGGGCTTTGCTTTGCACAGCTGCAGTGAGAAGTTACTGTCAGTGTGTTAGCAACACACTCCATTATTTCTCCAGTGGCTCTGACCACAAAACCCAAGGGCTGGCCGGGCTGCATTCCTTCCTAATGGCTGTAGGAGGAGAATGTATTTCCTTCCCTCAGCCCCTGGGCTGTGGCAGAACTGGTTCCGGTTTTAGGACTGATGGCCACCAGCTTCGTGCTGTCACCCCAGCTTTCAGAGGCTGTTGTGTTCCTCGGCTTGTGGCCAACAATGACCCGTTAAGTCTCTCCCAAGCTTCTAATCTCTAGTTGCATGTTGCCCCCGCCTCCCTTCTCCCACAAGCTTTACCCTGAATGAATGAATGAGCTCTATTCCAAGTCCCATCTTGTCTGCACAGCCCCTTTGCTTTGTACAACCGCACTTTGCAGGCTCTGAGGATTAAACATTGAATTTGGAGACCATTCTTCTGCCTACCAAGGCTATGTCCTAATAGTTTTATAGGAAGCTTTTTAAATTTTTTAATAAAGTGGGCTCTCTTTTGCCAATTGGATCTTGCTTTACCACCTTTAAATGTAAATATGGTTACATGTTTAGTCTTAAATACAGTCTAACACTCTTACAACATGGTGTGTGTGACATTGCTAACACCTCTGGAGTCCTCACAGCTCTTCCCAACTTTTCCATTTCTGTCTACGGCCCCAGCTCCTGTCTAAGTAATTACCACGGAATCATCTCCTTGCCACCAGTTGAGCCCTGTCCTGAGTAAGCCCTTCCTTAATAGAGCCATCAGCCTGTCAGTCCAGGGAGTAGACTAACATATGTCCTCACCCACACACACACACACACACACACACACACACACACACACACACGAAAAATTCAGAATGAGGGAAGTGACTCAAACTCAGCTCACAAGAACCTCAGACACCACGCTCTAGGGATGATGACATCCCTCCCAATGTGGCTTTGTAGAAGTCACAGGCTCAGCCACCATCTTTCTACCCACTCGGCCCTGCCCAGGACTTGCAGGCTGGGCTGCTGCAAGTGAAGGGTGCCTGTAGAGGTGGCTGGTGGTAGCAACATGCAGGGTGAGGTGAGCATCCTGAATGAGGCCAAAGGAACACCTTGCTCCCCCACCTCCCCTCCCCTCCCCCTGCGTTTCCCATCACCAGTTCTGAGCACCTCAACCAACACAGGCGATTAAGAAGTCTAGCTTCATTGTGAGACACTCAGTGCCCCCCCCCCCCAACTCGGATAGCTGGTGTGTTCATTAGTGTTTTAGCACTTCACCTTTTTATTTTTGCTAATAAATTCTTTTATTTAAATGCTTTCCCATGATATATAATTAGGGTGTTACTGTATTTTTCAGAGGTTTTCTTTTTGATGTTGTTGTTCATCAAGATCAAGATAAGCAATGTTTACCTCCCTGCAAGAATGGTGCTTGTGGCTTCTGCATCAATGGAAAACAAACGTGGAACCCGGAGCACGTGGCAGCCTAGGAAGGACCAAGGGCTCCTAACCTCTTTCCTACACAGCTGCGGTGAAAACTGCAGTGTCTGGTGGCTGTACTTACAGACCACATCCTGCACAGAGAAGCAGAGTGGGCGGGGAGCCAGCGCTGTCTGTACCTCCCTGTCCTGTACACCTGCCCCGTCTAGTGCCCCCCTCCCATGGAGTTGCTCATGGACCCTTTCTTCTTCATGACACGAAATCAAAGTGAGGCACTGCTGTCAAGTCTTGCAAAGGTTATTCCATGTTTCTGCACCTGCCTTCCAAGTTCTTTTATTTTTTTTATTCTGTCACCTTTGGGGCTTGAACTCAGGACCTGGGCACTGTCCCTGAGCTTTTTTGCTCAAGGCTAGGCCTCTACCACTTTGAACCACAGCTCCTCTTTTGGTTTTCTGGTGGTTCTTTGGAAATAGGAGTCTCACAGACTTTCCTCCCTGGGCTGGCTTGGAACCACAATCCTCAGATCTCAGCCTCCTGAGTAGCTAGGATTATAGGCATGAGCCACCAGTGCCCAGCCCAAGTTCACTTTTTAATCCTTGAGAGTTAAGTTTACATTTCAGAATAAAAGAGCTAGTAAAGCTAAAGATTCTGGGGCTTGGGACTAATGGAAATCTACTTATTGTAACTTTATTTCATGTAATATTTTGGGAAATACCTTGTAGATATTTAAGCTAAGCTAAATGTTGATTGATTAGCCCCTCATCAATCTGCATATTAATGTCTCTTGCATCGAACATTATTGAGAAAGTAGAGACTATCTCTTCTTTTAAGGAGTCAGAATTCCTGATATAAGAATACGTTGGTGGTTTACAGTAGCATCATTTGATCATAGGACTTTGAAATTTTTTATTCATCTTTTTCTGTATGTGTGTGCCTGTGTATTTTAGTGGATTTGCTCAGTCATACTTTTAGTCATATTTTTATATAAAGATATATTGAAATTCATTTTAGGATCTCAGTACAGGACAGTGCTCTAAAGTTCAGTCATAGCTTAGAAACACTCATTATGACTTTAAGAAAATAGCTCTCCATGCCTTAACTTTTTCTTCTCTTCAATGGGGCAACTGTAATACTAACAAATAGCCAAATTAACTATTGTCCCTTTGTTATCTGAACTTCTTGGAAAAACATGATTCATAAATGCAAAATACACAAATTTATGCAACACTTCCAAACCTTAAAACATTGTTTACATACGATTTATTCATACATATGTTTTACTAATATTTTTTCTCAATGCATATTAAATATTTTTGTATATTTGGCAAAGATTTTACGTTTTAGCTTATATTTTTAGAGTATTTCTGAAGTATGCACTCATAACGTTATAGTTCAATGAACATTTTCATGTTGCTAAAATAAGTAATTGCTTTCTCTCTCCACTGTAAAATTATTTTGGAATTTCCCATCTTTGTGTGTTGTCAAACTTCATCTATATATCTTTGAATTCTCTGAAAATAAAAATAAAACCTTAAAAATACATGACAGATTTTTCCCTCTTCATTGTGTTTCATATGACAAAACGTTTTCATTAGTTACAGCATAATTGGCCAGTTTTTGCTGCTTGAATGTTCGAGTCCATTTACTTCTGTGTCCAGCACAGAAGTGCTGTGTCTTCCTCATGGGCTGTTACTACAAACTTCTCACCTGGACTGCTACAGTCCGCTCCCCCCTGCTTCTAGGGACTCATTTTCCCCATCTACTTTTTGTACCTTGGCTTCCTTGACCCCTGTCTTGTGACTTTCTGGCTCTCATAGGAGGACACAGCTCTGTACATTGAACTTCCACATGCTGTACGGTGTGGTCTCATCAGGCCCAGGCTTCCACCAGTCCTCTAGCCCCGAGGCCACCCAGGCCAGCAGTTACTTCTATTCCTCCACGGCTGCCCCCCATCCCCACCCCCAGGAGCACTGGTCACTGCAGCTGCCTTCCTGCCCTGCTGGCTTCCTTCCATTCTGCTGCATGCACCAGGCAGAGCCCAGCCTGGCCTCTCTGGAGCAAGTCTTCCTGGGTGACCTAGATTGGGAACAGGACTCCCAAAGGAAGTGGTTTCTGGGGAGATCTGAGGGGCAGTGACCAGGGAGTGGAGCACCTAGAGGGCGTAATGACTTCCAAGCACATCTGGCTCTTAGTGCATCCAGGCACAATGGCTGAACAATCTAACGGAAATCACTGAGGAGGGCTCCAGGTGCCGGCCAGCAGGAACATATGATATAGATGTGCCCAAGGGCTGTAGGGGGTCAAGGTGAGGGGACAATGTCTCCTGCCCTCACTTCCCCGAGCCGTTCGCCTGCAGGAGACCCTGATACCAACATGGCTCTCACCATGACAGTAATAACGAGTAATACCTATTGGCTAATACAGATATTGGCTTGTACCTATTGATTGTTCTTCCTGAGCAGGTACTTTTGAGAATTTGCTGTGTATGAATCTGTGACACACCACCACCACCCGTACGGTGGGTGTGATCATCTTTCCCATTTCACACACGAGACGAGACACAAAGTTCGGTGATCTTAGAATAACCGAATGATATATAAGGGAGCCCAAATCTGCTGATGATGGATTGCATCCAGTCTCTGAAAGACTCACATGGTGGTGTTCACCATGATGGCCATTTGCCACAGCAGCATCTGTGTGATCATTTGATTGGCACTTACCCTCCCTTCCCCTCCCCCCACACAGAGGAATATGAGGTACAGTGAGAAAGGGGACGTGCTCATTTCGGTGTGCCACCGAAACTGTGGTCCCTAGCTCAGAGTCTACCAGAGGCTGCTGTCATGACATATTTCTCTTTACTTTGTTCAGCTCGGTAGTGCTTGTGACTGTCTTTATGCATAAGGGAGGCAATCTTCCCAAGGTCATCCTGTTGATATGCAGCTGACCCAAGACTCGAGCCAAGCTGTAAAATCTCTCTGAGGGCCCATAGATCAGTATACTATACAGTCCTTGTCATAGGGTAAAGGCTTAGTAACGCTGAACGATTGTGGCCACCATCAAGAATATATGCTGCTCAGGGAAGGTGGCTCATCAATCCCTCTTCTCCAGCCCCTCTGCTGTCTCCAGGAAGCCAGGCTCAATTATTTACTTTCCACAAAAGCCCCCTGAATGTTTCTAGGAATCCAGTGCTCAACAATATACTGGGAATGCAGTCCCTTTGGCTTTTGTGAGATCCAAATAATATTTTGAGAAGGAGAGGAGAAAAGGAGGGAAGGAGAAGAAAAGGAAGGAAGGAGGGACCTGGGCTTTCGGCAGGTTGTTGCTACCCCTCTGGCTGGCGGGAAATTATTCATGGGGGAACTGCTTCTAAGCAGGAGATGGATGGAAGGAAGTTGTGCCATAGTGCTTTTGACTGTGTGCTTCAACCACTCGTACCTGGAGCAGAGGGCTGAATAAGAGAACATGGCATAGGGGTAGCGGTCCTGAGTAATAAGGTTATAGGCATGTGCTATGGTGCCTGGCTACGTCATTGTTTTTGAGCCCTTCCTTACTATATTAAACAGAAAGGTATTCCAAGATGACTGTGAATTCTCCAGCCCAGGTGTCCTCAAATGTTTGTTTGGTGGTTTGTTTGTTTGTTTGCCCGTCCTGGGGCTCTAACTCAGGACCTGAACACTGTCCCTTAGCTTTTGTGCTCAAAGCTAGTGTTCTACCACTTTGAGCACAGCTCCATTTCCAGCTGACTTTGAGCTTCCAGCCTTAGATCTCAGCTTCCTGAGTAGCTAGGATTACAGGCCCAGCACCAGGACAGTGGGCTTTTTTTAAATGCAATTTGTTTGGCGGGGGGCGGGCTGGGGGCAGGGCTGGGGAATATGGCTTTTAGGAACAAAATTTTTGTCCCTGTATGTGTGTTCATTGCCAGGATAGAAATGCATCTAGAGTATCTGAATATTCAGAACTAGGAAATTAGGGGGGGTGTATACATGGGGGGGGGTGTGTACATCGAGAGAGTGTATACATAGGATGGGTGTGTGTGTACATAGGGAGTATGTATTTTGTATAGAGGAGATGAACAAACAGCAGTAAAATTCCAATATGCACAGAATTTGCATGGAGAGTATCTGGAGGGTATTTGCACTGTCCTTGTCAATTGCCTGAAATGCTGCCAAAGTGGGTTGAGAAGAATAAACAGAGTGGCAGTTTCTTGGGGTGGTTAGGCACTGCGTGTGGAGAGCAGATCCATGGGCATTAAAGCCCAGCTCCTTCCCCGAGTGACCCTACCCCTCCCCGTGTCAGAAGGGTCCCATCCTCACCGACTGCAGTCACAGCGCTCTTGATGGATTGTTGAGAGAGTAAGTTAGCACCATAGACTACAGCTCTGAGATGCTGTAGGTGCATTCTCTTAGCTTGCTCTCCTGCTTCCTGGTGTTTTACTGCGTGCTCGGAAGCATGTAGGATCAGATGAACCGTTTCCCATTTCTGTTCCTGTGGAAGACCCGTGGGGTCTTTATGGCTCTCTGGCTCACAGGTCTGCTGCAGCCAGCTTCCTGCTTGCTGCCCTCCCCATCCCAGCCTCCATCCTCTAAGCCACCTGCCACTCTTCATCACCCTCTCTTCTGCACACTCTAGAAATCTCCTACAATCTTCCTTTGACCCTTACGTACTCTCCATCTTTACTAACCACGTATGGTTAGCCCCCATGGCTGATGTCTACTGAGCATGCTCTGATGTCCTATTTCCTTGGGTGTGCTGCCTGTTTCCAGTGGTCTTGGAGATGTTAAATACCTTGCTCAGAGAAATAGTAAATAAACATAAACTTTGGGTTCCTTCCCCACTCTAACTGTACCCTCCTCCTTGGTTTTCCTGTACTCTTTGGTACCCAAGGAACCTACATGCGCCAGTCAATTCATCTATCAGCAAGTGTTTAGGTGGACAACTTGGAAAGTCAAGTGATTCAGCTTCATGCATGGAACTTACTCTAATCTCCCACACAGGATCTAAATGGCTGAAGCTCTTCTTGCTGCTCCTGATTCCTCTGTCCTGCAAAACCTCCTTTATGAGCAATAAAATATTTGCACTGTTCCTCATCAAGATGCCCCCTGCATAGGCCTTCCAAGTAGCATCCACTCCTGAGTACAAATGCTTCTCAATTAGTTAGAAGATTTGTGCGATTAAATGCTTTTTGCCCCCAAGTTGTTTAGCTTTAGTGAAAAGAATGTCATAATAATATTTGTACAGAAGGAGCAGAAATGTGAGGTAAGGGAGATATCCTAGATTATGGGAGCAAAGATGACAGGGGTCAAGATGAATATGTAGCCAAGTGTTCACTCTGTGCATATGAAGAATAAATGCTTTGTTTTTGCTTTTGTGTTTGTTTTCCTTGTTTATAAATCTACCTCTTTT